TTAATGAACTACAAATGCAGCACTGGTCTGCCTCAGGGTGGCGCTGTAGCAAATTGGTTCACCCAGTTGGTCCTACATAGCCTAGCAACTGTTACTATGCCCAGTAGGGGTGCGGGAAAAACTTGATTCTTAGATGCATCGCGATGCGGACGTGAACGATTCTGAATCGATTCATAAATGTCAAAAATCGATTTTCTAAATATTTAATTTATAACGTAATGTTGACGGAACGCAAAAGGCGGAACTGGAAGTGCGGAAGTGTAGCTCCCGGACAGTCTATGGCGGCACATAACAAAAACACAACTGGATGAGCTAACCTAGAAATCCGACCGACAGCCTCTGCATTAAAAGCCAGGTTAGATCAGGAGTCACAACCCAAATGTTAAGAAGAGACATTTTGCCTTTCAACAAAGTCAAACCATTTTGGGAGCCACTACATTTAATGTCGTAGTATGGGCTAAAAATATAAACGAGAGCGCAGATTTACTTTGCGCTGCTTTAAGCTTCAGCTACAGCCGCTTTCCTTCCATCTCCGCCAGAAAACCTTTCTTCAAAACTAGAAGAATTTCTTGTAAAATGTCTCAGTATCCGGCTGTTTTACGAGGCTGAAGTCGCTTCTCGTTCTAATTTTCCCGTTCCACCTTAAATTCTGCCTTAGGCGCCGAATGTAACAAATGCGGTACCATTTAAGGTGGAACGGGAAAATTCGAAAGAGAAGCGAGTTCATTTTCGAAACTTTTTAGAGAAAGACAGTCTCTCGTTGCAGATTTAACCAACCGCGCTGCTTATAAATGCGAATAAGTCCTCCAAATGTTCGTCTTAATCTCTGTTTTTTTCGTTCGCTACTGGCGAGGCCAGACCTCAGCGCTATGTGACCTGCTGTCTGCTGTCTGTTCTCAGTCGTTGAGAACCAGGGCTTTCGCTATGCTGCACACTTTGGAGCCGAGATTCAGCGTCCAGTCTCGAAAATACCCCCGAAAATACTACCAAGTCTTCAGACAGTAGGAAGATAGAAATCCTGTATAGAGAAAAAGATGCATCGAGATGCATTGATAATCATTTTATAATCGCATCGCAGCCCTCTGAATCATAATCAAATCGAATCGTGAGGTGCCTAAAGATTCCCACCCCTAATGCCCAGACATCCCTGAAAAACTTGTGCCCTAGCATATTTGTAAATCTGAAAACTTGCTCAGTTTCCCGAGATATTGGTGGAAAGAGTGAATTGTTACTCATTTCTCAAACTGAAGACGAAAGAGGACGTGTCAGATCGCAATAAATGTGTGGAGGAGCACATTACCAAACTAGAAAAGAGCTTTTTCAGAAGAAGGATTGTTAAACCAAACATTTTGCTGCCATTGAAGCTAGTATCAAGGTTGCTATGGTGAGTGAACAGCCAGCCAGCGCTGGTTTAGCGAGTGAACATGGGACCACCTGAATACAAGGGGGTATTTCACACACCGTTCCTTGGTATGAAGATGTGAATATTCATTTCACATTTTTATTTTCCAAACTTTTTACTGTTACAATGTGTTTACAATTCTAACCGATTAACATGGTACCATTGGGTTTGAAGGGAGTAGCACAGAGTCTATTTTTAAATCTTATATTAAGTGTTGAGTCATGTTGCCTGTTGTGGTGAGTTAAACTCCCTCATTTATTCTGAGAGGATCAGTCATGAAGGCTTATAAGCACTGCATTGTATGAACATCAGCACTCCCGAGGTTTGTTTTTGCATTCCAAATGTTCAGGTTTCAAAGTTGAAATACCATATCAGCCCCAAGCAAACTAGATTTAACTTGTTTGTTATTTAATGTTTTCAACATATTCTTAAATGAAAAGTAGAAAAAACTTAAAACAAACCGAACACAAGCACAATAAATTCAGCTGGCAGCCCAACTGCCGAACTGAAGATTGTTTGCATACTCAAAGGAACTGTGGTTGAATCCCACCCATTGCTTCTGGGCTTTATTACAACATCTGAGATAAATCATCATGTACAGATTCATCAAAAACAAGACCATGTATTTGTGCTGAAAGAGCCTGAGGGAGTCCTTTGGATTCATACATACTGCTTACATTAAAAAATGGTTCAGTGAAAAAAAAAAAAACCTAAATGCAAAGACATGTTTGGTGTCTGGCTTGATAAGTTTGGGACCCGAACGTGCCTGTATGCTACTGTTAGTCCACCCTCGGACCATCCAGATTATTGTTTAAAACTAGTTTGCAAATTCCTCAAACAGATTTTGAATGCACATAGTGTTTTATTTTGGAAAATAAACTAAGCCAAATATTACAAGAAATTGAGAGAAAAAATATAATGACTAAGCTAAATGTTTTTGCTGAAAATGTTGTTGCTGACACTGCTAAATTGGTTACAGCTGTATAATTGGCTTTATTTGTGATATTACTGGTAAAATTCACAAAGGATAACAAAAAATGAAGGAAAAATAAGCAAATTGGTCTCATGAGTTGATGTCATTGGTACAAGTGTTTCCATAACAACTTCTCTCCACAAAAACATATCATTCAGAATAACAAAGACATTTTGTACAAAAACAAATCAATATTTTTGAAAACTGGGTGAAAAACAGTATCCTCTTGGCATGTCAACTTTTCTACTTAAATAGCTTTCTAATGAGTTATAGTGGAAAATGAGGGATAAAAAGTGACATTTTGTTTAACACTCTGCTTAATCACCAGTGGGCCGCCCAGAAAATGCAGGGCAAAAAGACAGTGGGCCATCAGCTTTGCTATCAGCTGACCAACAGCAGTCCGCTTAAAACTAAAGGAAGTTCCTGCATAAATGACTAAAAACATGTTTCCTTTTTTGTCTTAGCTGCTCCATTTGACCCCAATTCATTGATTGCTGGCACCCTTTAGTTTTGTGCGGTCATTTTTTTTAAATACTACAATTTCTCTTCCCTTATATAGTTCTCCAGTGTAGGGACTAGTGATTAGTGGCCATTGTTATTCTATGTAAAAGTGCTCTACAGTGCTCCAGTTTAAAGAATAGTATTTAGGAATCATTTTTGTGCCCTGTAGTAGTGTTCTATATAGTGCTACTATGTAGGGAATAGTGATTAGGGGCCATTTCTATTCCATATAATAGTGTTCTATATAGTGCTCCAATATAGGAAATAGTGCTACGGGGCCATTTCTGCTCCCTATAGTGTTCCATATAGTGCTCCAGTGCAGGGAATAGTGATTAGCGACCATTTCTTTTCCCTATAATTGCGTTCTATCTAGCTCTCCAGTATAGGGAATGGTAATTAGGGGCCATTTCTGTGCTCAAATGCAAGGAATGGTCGATTAGTGATAGTGATTCTGTTCAGTGTAATAGTGTTCTACAGAGTGCTCCAGTGTTGAGGATAGTAATTACCATTTCAGTTGCCTACAACAGTGTTCTTTATTGGGCTTTAGTGTGGAGAATTGTGTTAATGCTTTCTATTCCCTATAGTAGTGTTCTGTATAGTGCTCCAGTGTAGGGAACAGCAATCAGGGGCCATTTCTTTTCCCTATAATAGTGTTCTATATAGTGTTTCAATGTGGGGAATAATGACTGAGAGGCCCTTTCCATTCCATATAAGAATGGTTTATGCTGTGCTCCTGATTTTCCAGTGTAGGGAACAGTGATTAGGGGAACATTTCAAACACACTAACAAATTCCTGAGCCCCACAAACAGCTGATAACTGCTTAGAAAACAGGTTGATCTCTGTCCATATCACTGGACTCAGAGTCCGAGCACCCTGAGGAAAAAAAAAAAGGTCAGCAGCTCTCAATAAAAATAATCACCACCTTCACTGACCACCACATACGTCATGTCTGTCCAGCTCATGATGTGTTTACATTCCTCTCTTTACGAAGAAATATTTAATCTGTTTCAACAACAACACCAGATTGGCTGGCAGAGGAGCTTAGAGAAGTCTCTGTTTCAATGTGTGAAATTACTCCGCTCTCTACTATTTTGCACTATTCAGATTTTCATATCTGGTACACTGTCTCATACTGCTCTTTGCAGCCATCTCATACTGTTATTTATGCATGACGTACTTTTTTGTTGGGCTTTGAGTGTAGATTTGCATTGTGTGTATGTATTGTGTATTGTCATATTTAATTGCACTGTTTTACTGTGACTACTGTATATGGATGGGATGACAACACAGTTCCTCTGGACTCCTGGCTCTGCTCATATGAGCCGAAGTCATCGGCACAAGTGTTTCCAAAACAGCATCAACAGCAGTAAGAAATGCTTCTAGAGTGGTCTATACTTTATAAGCACAACTTCTCTCCACATAAATAAATCATTTGGAATAACAGACATTTTATACAACAAATCAGTATTTTTTAAAAACCTTTCTACTGTAACAACAACAGCTTTCTAATAAATTATAGTGAATTCTTGGCAAAATACAAAACATCTGTTACTCCAAAAGAGTTTGCTGTAGTGTTTGATGCCAAGCCTTCAGGTGTTGTCATGCGACTTCAAAGATGCCAAAGCTGCTAAAAGTTTTCATTTGCTATTTTTGGACAATTTTTTGTTAATTTTTTTTCCTTTTTTCCTTTCAATTTCCCCTTGCTTTGCTTGTTTTGTTTAGTGTATGTAATTGCCCTGGCAGTACTGTGTGATCTATGTCTAATCACTGTAAACGCTGTTCTTTTTAATACTACTACTACTACTACTAATAATAATAATAATAATGATTGCATCGACAGTAGTGATGAAAACAACAGCAATAATGAAATATTTTATTAGTAGATAACAACCTAATTTTACAACAATAACATGAAAGAAATTCTCTAAACTCTAAATTCATTCGTCCCTTCTTTTTACAGAGTGACATCTTTGCAGTTGTTAGAATAGCTTTTCATTCGTTGGATTTCAGGACAAACGCGTTAATTTTTATTATTAGTGTTAATTAAATGTCCTTTTCATCCCCTTTTCTCAAAACGTTGAAGCTTAGAGAAGTAAGGCGCTTGTTTCCGCCCGGCTGTTTTAGCGGACGGACCAGCTTCGTGTGTTGAGAGAAAATCCTCTAATTCAACCGTGACTGTTTTAAACTGATTTTGTTTTTTATTTGTGTTCATTATAAAAGCCTGACGAGTGTCTAAACGCTCTGTATACGCATGTAAAGAAGATTAAGTACCAAAATTCAAGGCAAGTACCCAAAAACAGAGTCAGGCTCAGTTAGCTTTTAGCGGGCTAGTCAGCTCTTTTCTGTTCAGTGTCTGCGCTGCTCGCTGGTGACGTTAGTAACTTTGTAAATGAAAGAGATTTAGTTTTTAATTTCAGAGCCTGATAGATGTACATGTAGTTAGAGGGGGAGAAAATCAGGCCTTGGAGATACTTTACATGTTAATTTCATGTACTTTATATGCAGTTTTCGTCAGATTATTTGGAAACAGTTACAACAATTAAACAACATTTGAGAAAATGATCTGAATGAATACTGCAGCAGTTTCTATAAGATAAAGTCAGGCAGTTGCTCGAGTTGACTATAGTTTATTACAGCATACTGCACACTTATTAAAGATTACAATAAGATAGTACTACAGGAATATTATACAGAGGAGAAAATATTATAGATTATTATTCAAACTTACTATAGTTTATTACATTGTGCTACACGAGTATTATAAATTACAGATAGACGGCTCTGCAGTAACATACCTAGGAGAAAACGTTACACATTATTATACAGCACTGTATATATTAGGGATGCACTAATTTGAGGCGAATGCTGATGTCTTATATTTTTCATTTACATATCTATAGATGTAGGTGCTGATACATTAACATTTTAATATGTAGAAACTGGAATTAAATCCATCTCGTTTGGCATTATGGGTAAATTTAACATTTATTTGTGGAGGGTTACAAATGTAGTCAAATGAATGTAATGCAAAAAGCATACAAGCCCATCATCAACTAAATGTTCTGCTCTTCGCAGTATGATAAATATGTCATCAAATATCGGTCGTTAATCATATATCTTATCACATGAATGGTTATCTGCCGATACTGATATGGTTCTGATGTCATGCACGCCTAATAGAGGTCTTACAATTTCTTGTAGTATTACTGTAAATCTTTTTTGTTTTATTGTTGCAGTGTGTGGCTCTGTTTTCAGTACATTTTAGGGATGTTTGATGATGTTAAAAAAAAAGTAGTTTATAATGATGTGTTCATTGTATTCCACAATAGCAGAATGTTTAGGTGATGCTGGGCTATTCTGCTGAAATATCTGCACTTTGTTCAGTTTTACTGCATTTGTATCCCTATAGAAGTAATTTTATATTTCTCTATAATTCTAATCTAAGTAGATCAAGTGCCAATTTCTACATTTTATAAATGTTTATGTATCGGTACTGGCATCAGCAGATATGTCGGCCTACATGAAAAATGTCAGCTGTCAGCATCAGCCCACAATTACCATATTGGTGTGTCCTTAATAAACACCTCACTGGATGTTCCTGTCTTCATTTTCTCTATAGCTATGGCTGGACCTGTGAGCCTAGAATTAGACCCAATCTTCCTCAAAGGGCTTGGATACCTTCACTCCAAAAGCAAAGACTCTGCAGAGAAACTCAAGGCTCTGCTGGATGAGTCTTTGGCCAGAGGAAGTGATTCAGCCTACAGGACTTCTCTGAAGGTGAGGCTTGACTGGTGGTGGTAGAAACAAGGGAGACAAACATTTGGATTCTTTTTGAGCTCAAGACAGAGGTTTTGAAACAGTTCACACTGCACATTCTCTACATCATTACACACTGGATTCTGCTCGCTCCTATCAGAGTTATTGTGCCTCTGCTGCTTTTGGAAACCAGTTAGATGGGTCTTATTCTTGTGTATAAAATAATGATCATACTCCAGAGCTCTGCTAAAAACAACATGAAACGAAAGCATTTTTTCATTACCATTTAGGAAAGCATCTGTAAACGAGAAAGGGTTTTGGAATTACAACCCTTTTTGGCCTCAAACTTAATGATATTTCGCTTTTTAAGATGAATTCTCAACAGCAGTTGAATGATATGAATAAATATAATTAATGAATAAATAATTCATCATATACTGCGTTTAGTAGGCTTGTCTGTTTTTATGCCTTTTTAAATCAAGACACATCAAACTTAAATTTGCAAAACACAGGCTCTGAAACTTCGAAAGCGATTGGAGTAATTGATTAATTTTGGCTCAGTCTGGGCATCACTAGGATCTACTACAATCACACTGTAGACTTTTGTGCTTTTCTGCATTTACCAAAAGTAGTGCTAGTAGAAGATATTGGTGAATGATGTCCATTGTCTTGCATCAGACAGTGTATTTGTAACCATTTCATGGAATAACTAAATGTGAGGGAGCTTGTAGATGCATTCAACTCTTCAGACATCTGGTTCCTTTCACCGACACTGTGAACAATTCTGATTTAAGTTTCTCTAAAAAGGATAATTTCACATGAAACCACTCTAAATGACTTTAGTTACAACTTAACCATTTCATTATGCAGAAATTTTGAGACTGCAGTGTGTGTTACTGGGAGCTTCAGGTTGGTTTGAAATTAATAATAGATAAGTAGTAAGTTCTGTTAATGTTCTTTCTTTGTGGTTAACATTTACAAAACTGTTCTGCAGTTTAAGAACACTTCTTTTATCTGGTTCTCTATGAGGTTATCTTTGGTGTAATTTTGAGAGATGAAAACAGAACAAAACATTCCAATAAAATAAGCCGGTTTGTGACAAAATACATCAAGTTTGTGAGACATTATTTTAACATTCAATTGCAGCACTCAGGATGCATGGACTTTATTATATAACTTTCTGAATGCTGACTCATCAGCTTTATTAATGCTAACATATTACCCTTATTAATGCTAACTTATTACCTTTATTAATACCTAATTAAATATTATAAAATACAGTGGTATCTTGATACATATGTATTGTAATATTGGTTATCAGTACTGTCCAGCTCTAACGTGAGGTTCCACTTATTTTCCATAGGAAGCTGAGGTGACAAAGGTGTCAGTATCAAAAATAAACAAACAGGACTCCAAATCATCGTCTAGTTCATCGTCCTCTAGTAGCAGCAGTAGCAAGTCTGGCGGCTCAGAGAAAGGCAAGAAAGAAGGAGAAAAAAGATCTGCTGAGAAGGTGAGTGATGTATTTTCATTAGATCTGATTTAAGTTCTTCCAGTTCATTTTTACAGTTAATGACATGAATTAATATGAAATCTATCTATATATCTGTCTGTTGCTTTGTCTGTCTGTCACTCTATCAGTCTCTCTATCATTTCAGTTAAATTCAGAAAGCTTTATTAGCATGACCATATTTAGTTGCTGGGTATTGCTAAAGCATCGATGAAACAAAAAGAATTAAATCTCTTTCGATGTCTCTATTAACATCTATTTCTGTGGTGGAAACCTTACTAATAAGTAATATTACTTGGCTACAGGATGTTAAATGATCCCCGTGGTTTCTTATTTAATGCAGGTAAGAGTTGAATCTGGAGATGGAGGAGATCTGCCAAAGAAGCCGCGCATCGACAAACCCGAAAACCGCTCTTCTCCCATTGCCTTCCAACCCAAAGACATCCCCATCTCAGACTTCAGCTACAGTGACGAAACCAATGCTGACGACTTTGCCATGGAGATGGGCCTTGTCTGTGTCGTCTGCAGGTACATCATATTAAACACATAAACTTGGTATACAGTGTATGCCTGTATGTACGGCAAATAGTAAGTAGTTGTTAAGTGTATCACACATTGATTAAGTTGATTCTTCAGAAGACGATTCAGCATGATGCAATTATGAAAAGAAAAAAAAATAGAACCTATGTAACTGTAGAAGCTGTTTACATAGTAATTGAATATAGACAATAAAGACACTATCCCAAGCCTTTTTTGTTGATTGATTATAAAATAGACTGAAAATTTTGAGTGCCAGCCTACCAGCACCTCATAAACATATTATTTATATGAAGCACACCCACATTAATGCAGATGCTTCAGCAGAAGGCCAATAAAGCAATAGCATTCAGCAGCTTGTGAGCCAATGGCTGTGATCATAGGTAGAGTTTGAGGTTAAGAACTGGGTGCACTGCTCCCCCTACTGACCAAACTTTATAATGTTAAAATTAATGTGACTGGAAAGAATAAAGTGTGAAATAAACAAAGAATGAGTGACTTTTCCTAAAATAATATAATTAAACACTGCATTATTGCAATGTATGAGATGCTTCTGCACTGGCTGTGTTTTGTATATTTTAGCTTTTGAGCAGTGTCAGTAGTATAAAACAAAAGCACAGTGTATTATGTCTTTAAATGGAACATGGAAGGTTGATTCTAACATTCCAAAATCAATGCAGTTGTTTTGCAGTCTTCAAACACATTATATATTTAAGCAATAGAACACGAGAGGGAGTGTGTTATTGCGAAATAACATCACGGCTGTGATGTGGTCGCAGGCACGGGCCGAAGGCGTAGTCTCATCAAGATGAGACTACACGTTTGGTGAATGGTATTTGGTTCGTTTCTGGCTAATTCAAGGTTGTTTAGGTTTTCTTCTGTCACAGCTGCCGACTGAAAAGCTTGCTCAGTGGTGGTGACAGTTTGGGAGTTTAGTGTGGTCTCATCTTCAGAGTCTTACCAAATCGGCTGTAGGTCAAATGTAATGTTATCCATTTTCTGTTTGTGCGCAAAGTAAAAAGTAAAAACGTTCAAATGGCTTGAGCGTGTCCTACAGCTGTCAAACTCGTTGCTTAGCAACGGCGTCTTAGCGGAGTGATACAATGTTTGTGAAAAACCCGTGATGTAATGGTCAAATATCAGCACGGTTAGAATGCTTCTCAACCAATCAGCTTGCGTGGCCCGAACTAACTGTTGTATAATATATTATATTATACATAATTACATTCTGATTTCGATGTCCTTCAGTTGCTCAAAAATCTCTTCTTTCTTAACCGCAGACAGATGAATGTCTCTTCAGGCAATCAGCTGGTGGAGTGTCAAGAGTGTCACAATCTGTATCATCAGGAATGTCACAAACCTCAGGTTACGGATAAGGATGTTAATGACCCACGGCTGGTGTGGTACTGCGCCCGCTGTACCAGACAAATGAAGCGCATGGTGAGATATTGAATTTGGAGTGCTTTTACATAATGCATTGGTTAGGCAATGATAATGAAATTAGCAGTGGTGAAATTGGATATCCTCAGTAGCAGGGCTGGTTGGGGTGGGCAATATGACAATGTTACTGTTATTGTGATTAAATTACGTTACATTATGTTTTTCTTAATATATGATGGGTATGATCAGTACTTTTAGAATACTGAACAACTGCAGGTATTATAAAAAGACATTTAATATTTATAGCCTTTTTAAATGTTGCATCCACTTTTTTGCTGGATCATTTTGTCCCTTCAAATGTCTTTACAAACCTCGGAAAAACATATAGTGAATATTGTGGTACACATCGTGCATTAAAGGTGGGAAAAATGATATTTCATCGTTATCGTTATAAAATTTAGTATTGTGATATGCTTTTCTGAGCATATTGTGGATATCCTCAGTAGTTAAAAACGCTATAGTACACTGTGTTTGAGTCTGGATATAGTGTTTATACTAAGATGTGTTTCAGGCTCAGAAGACCCAGAAACCCCCCCAGAAGCCGGCAGCTGCAGTGACGTCTGCGGCTCCGGTGGTGAAAGACCCGCTGGTGAAGAAGCCGGAGATGAAACTGAAACCCGAAACTGCAGGGTCCTTCCAGGCCTTCAAGAGAACGGAGGTTAAGGTCAGTCCAGAAGAACCAATCCATAAAATCCTCGCCTGTCCAAAAGCCCATCATCAGATTAATGAGACAGATGTATATTGATGCACCGTCTATTTAAAGTCATAGTTCTTCATAGTTCAGCCAGAAGTTTGCTCCTCTAGTTTTACAACTGCATCTTAGCTTATAATGTAGCTAACAAGTAAAGGAAGCTTATACCCCCATTTAACATTAAGCAGACCTCATACCTGAACAGTTGAAAAATTGACAAAATTATGTTATTAATTATGTAAATAACTTCGTTGAGTTGTATTTGTACTTTTGTCCGTGTTTATAAGCAATAGTGTGTCATACAGTGCCAGAAACCACATATGCAAGCCTATTTAAGATTGCTTAACAACTTGGCATGGTTTGAGACAAATGTGCAATGATTTCGGCATGCAGTTAGCACCATACTAATTTGTGGGATATAAGCTTAAATTACTTGTTAGCTATATTAATCTCATAGCTCTAGTGCTAAAACTAAAAAAGCAAACTTCAGACACCAGACACAGTGATTTCCCCTATCATCAAAGGGGTTGGGGTGGCCCCCCAACCAAAATCACGTGCCACCTGGCTGGATGTACAGATTTTATGATTGAACTAGCAGGCTAATGTTTGCTTCCTAGCTTTTGGTTAGCGTTTGGCCTGTTGATTCTTAAATGAAAAGATGCTCTAAATTCAGATCCAAAGTCTGGCACAGATCTGATCATTTATATAGGGGATATAGCAGTGGCAGAGATGAGCTGGGTTATGCCAGCAGAGCGTTGTCTAGCTAGCCTCCGTAGTGCAATTCTAATGTAAACTTGGTCACAGTAGATACTAATGAAATTTCATGAATTTCATGGTCCTTAAAGAAACTAATTTTTTCTGCAAGCTGAAATATTCTGCAAACCTCTGTCCATTTTTGTGATTGCTAGGGATTTGTGACTACTTTGAGCCTAAACACACTTTTCTGATGAGATAAATTTGTTCAGTCAGGTACTGGGTATTTCCACACAGTCTGGTGCTGTTTCCTTCGGGAAGATGGGGGGAAAGGTGAAGTAAGGGGTCGCAAAAATTTAGTTTATTCACATATACAGTGTATTCGCTGTGATTCTCTGTTGTATCACTTTGACTCCACATGTGTTTGATGACATCATGTACATGCAACAACTCTGGTAGCTTTGAAGGGCCTACCTCCTGATGTGAAAAAAAAATCGAGGGGAAATGTGTTGGGAAGAAGATTTTTAAGCAAAAATTTTATCAGGTCGGATTAAAAATGACATAAAGCAACATCATCATAACATTAATTCTGGTTGAGGTGGATGACTTAAGACTGTCCTTTTTCATTATGTCACTCTCTTCCTTCATCCAAGCTTGTTTTTGGCCTGATATAATAATACGTATGTTTTCTAAGTCTGAGATATTATTATGTATTTGCTTTTCTCTCTCAGGTGTCCACAGCAGCATCAGGGAATTCGTCTGGCGGCGGTTCGTCTCTACCCTCAGGCAGTGGTCTCACAGGCTGGGCTGCTTTCACCAAAACCTCCACAGCGGGGGCGTCCAGCAGTAAGCTTGGGGGTAGCAGCCAGCCAGGGGCTGCGAAGCCCCCCCAGGCACCCCCAGGATCCAAACCCATGGGTCTGTCCGCTCTGGCCAGTGTGAAGCCGGGTGCTAAAGCTCCGGGCAGCAGTGGAAGTGGGAACAATGGAAATAACGGTTCTGGATCAGCACCGCTGAAGTCTCCACCTCCACTAACACTTGGCAAACAGGTACTGAGCCGCTCCTCCAGTGGAGACAGCCTGGGGAAACTGACTGTAACTGGGTCCTCGTCACCAGGGGCATCCTCCTCCAGCAATTTGGGGGGCAACGGAGGATCTGGAAACGGAGGTGGAAATGGAGGTAATAGTAGCAGTAGCGCTGGCAGCAGCAGTGCTAGCAGCAATAATAACAATAACAGCAACAATGCGGCTAAAGCTTCAGCTGACGGAAAAACACCAACATCACAGGAGTCCCAGCTAAATGCCATGAAGCGTCTGCAGATGGTGAAGAAAAAAGCAGCGCAGAGGAAACTAAAGAAATAAGACTGAATAGTGTTCAATAAACACACTTTGCAAAGAAGGATAATGTTGGCAAGTGAAATCATGTTAAGTCTCTTGAATATATGTAAAATTTCTCATTATGAGCTTAGGAAGAAATTATAAGATGATCCAACCTATTTCATGATTTTTTTTCCCCTTGTTTTATGTAATAATCTTATTCCATTGGCAAATCATTTTGGCATTTAAAGAAAAGATACTATAATGGAAGGAAACATCTGCCAAATGTCATTTCACTGGATAAAATTGCTTAAAACTAAAAAAATAGGAAATTTAATAACAGCCCCATAATGAAAATTAATATATATATATATAGACTAGATTTAAGATGTTTTCAGTTGCAGAAGTATCATTTTTTGCAGTGCAATGCCCAAATTCTGAACTAGTACTTGAATCTTGCTGTATAGACGCTGCTGAGTGATGAAATGCTTCTCTGTGGTGGATGTGTGCCTCATCTGGTCTAAAATGACAGCACTGATAAACTAATGCTTTTAAAGACACCTTTAATAAATAACACCTTTTCAAAAAAAAACATAGATGGAATATGATTATTTTTTGCCCTCTGAGGAAAAAAAAGAAATGCAGTTTGTCTTACAATATATTTATTCATCAGGAAGCAGACAATTAAGTTACAGCTTTCACTTCTAATTTTATAAAATTATTACAGTCTCAATAAATTTTCTTCATATGCTGTGACAATATATATATCTATATATAATCTATAAGTTCTCTGGCGACTTCACATATTATTATACCCTTCATCAGTGTAGAAAATGAAACACTGTAGGTAGAAATACAAAGTGCTAAGAGTGGTCATCTCTTAGTGCAAGTTTTGGCCTTCATTAAAGCATAATCTGTGTTTAAAAACAGAAGTGTTGATGGAAAAATAAAGGTCAGAGGTGCTTTGGTGTCTTTCTTCAGGCATAGGACATCTTGCCAAGGTAATTAGCTGGGACGTAGCCTCGCTGACCATTGGCTTCAGCCAGCCACCAGTCTTTATTACCCCCGAGGTCAGAGAACTGCAGGATTCGGACAGGCTGGTACTCCTGCAGGGTCAGCTCCTGCTCACAGCGCGCCTGGAATGCATACACTGCATAGAACTGAGACAAAAGAGAGTCATGGTTAATACTACTACTACTAATAATAATAATACACTTGCTTTTATAGAGACTTTCATACTGTACAGATGCAACAAACACAATAACAACTACACTCTTGGCAAAAAAGGTTCTATCACATGATGACAGCAGAACCCTTTTGGGGGCTCTGCAGAATAATTTTAAAGAAATATATACAACAGATTTTTCTTCATAGAGAAGATCCATCTAAGCATTCAAATGGAATACAATATAAAACTATGTTATAGATACAAAGTGCAATCCTTCTTGGTGCTAACTATTTAAACTATTTAAAAAAGATTCTGTAAAGAACCATATACAAAAGGTTCTCCATGGAGGAAAAAACATTTCATCATGTATAGAACCATGTAAGCATTCAAATGGAATAGAGTGTAGAACCATGGTGGAGCAACAGCACGATCCTTGGTGCTACAAAGAATCATTTTTTTTTAAAAAAATGTTTTCCTTCATGGTGAAGAATCATCATCCATGCACACAACCATGCAAGTGTTCAGTTGGAATATAGAACCATATTTTAGAATCATAAAGGAACAATAGTGGAACCCTTCTTGGTGCTATGTAGAATCACTTTAAAAGATTCTGTAAAGAATCATATTCAGTAGGTTCTCCATCACAAAAAAATATTTAACCATGAAAAAATGTCAGCGTTGAGATGATTATTTGTCATTTATAACCATTACCTTTTTTACAAGAGTTCACATAATAAATCCAAACACAGATCAGTAAAATACTGTAGCCAGTGAGTGAGCCACAGCCTAAGAGAAACAGCAAATTAGTTTTAGCAATTTAAACTTAAGCAATTAATGTAATGTAAAACCACCAGCAGGTGGCAGTGTGGACTGTTTAAGACTGATGGAAATTGGTGTCTCAAGTAGACTTGCTTATGTGGCGTCTGTGATTGTATAACATTGTTATGTATAAACATGGACTAAAGTACATAGAGAATTCAGGCTTATGCAATATGGTGTACTTTTGTTTATTGATAACAGTGTGTCATGCAGTGTCAGAAACCACGTGTCTGTTTTAGATTGCTTAACAACTCCACATGGTTTGAGGCAAGTGTGTTATGATTTAGACACGCTGTTAACACCATGCTAATTTGTGGGAAATAAGCTTCTATTACTTTTTAGCTTACATTAACCTTAGTGCCTGCCTTGCACATCCTATAATCCCCATGTGTCAAACACAAGGCCTGTGGGCCAAGTCAGGCCTGTGGCACAATCCTATTGAAATATTATTTTCATTTTTTATTAATATTTTCCCACAGTTCCCTGCATGCACTGCAAGATAATGTGTGCTCCCTTTTCCTCCTCAACAACGATACATGGGACTGCACCACAACAACAAAACAAAACAAAAAAATACCAGGTGTCTAGTTCTAGTTCAATACCAGGTGTCTAGTCCAAAACCCAGCTGGCCTACAAATTTGTTGAGATTTTTTAATATAGTCCTTTTAGTGGTTGAGCTTGACAACCTTGCTATAATTCTTAGTCATTTACACGGCGGACGGGAGACAATGTGCAAGTTTCTAAAAAATGCTCCTCAGGGTGGAGATATTTGAAAACCATGACATAAAAATGCTGACATCTTATTGTTAACTTCTGCATGTCTATTTCTGTGTGCTATAGAGAAGTTATAAAGGAGGAGTCCGGTCACTGGTTGAAATATGAACGGGAAAGCTTGTAATGCTCAACATGGTGTCTGTTTGCGGAGAAAGTCCTTCCCTTCAAGAAAATGAGCCAATCTTGCTGGTTATGCTGCAAATGGGGAAAGCCCCCCATGCCCAAAATCCCACACCCAAACCCTCTGGTGGAGACAGCCAAAACAAGTAGTAGCAATAGCAGTAGCCAGAACAACCCCAAAAAATACCTTTTTTGTGTTTTACTAAGCCAAACGCTGCAAACTATTTATGAGATTTTTGTTAGATTTTATCAGTGAGTTCAAATATGTATTTCAAATGGTAATTTGACCTTCAGTTTTGAGTATTTTTCCCTCCCCATTCAAAGAGATAGAAGTCTGGTCTTGTATGGCTGCTTTGCAAAGCTTGTTGGCGGCATTGAAAAGATGGCCACCAAGTGAACATTACCACTCTGTAATGTCTTCCGGATTTCTGAAACGCTATAGTGCGCTCCAGAGCGAGTCCAAAATGAATGGGTTAAGATGGAGCATTCGAGTAGACTTCAAAAACAATGATTTTAATACAATGTTTTGCATACAGTGCAGCACTAAATGAATTTAAACAGGATTAATTATGGTCTGTAATGAAACATGCAGTTGGTCATGGTTCTTTAAGTATGGACAATATCCACAAATGTGCTCACAAAAACATATTGTTTATCACAATAACAGAATTTGTCACAGTAATGATAAGAAGCAAGATAGCTAATCAGCTACTTTTATAGCTGCAAACAGTTAACAAATAAAGAGAATTAAATATTTAGTTAGAATTATTTTTATGCCAATTAATCATTTTTTTTAATCATTATTTTTCATGATCATGACGGGTAGGTAGGTAGCTTGTGGGTAATTGCAGGGAGCATTTGAGTAGACTTATAGCTCATAAATGTTTAAGATTTTAATATAAAAGAATATATTTATTTCCTGAACACAGAACAGCATAAAATATTTTAACACCACTATTATATTTTTGAGCGCTTTTAAACTCGAGTCATAAGAGTTTAAAACGGCGCCACATGTACGTCTATGATGTCAGTGAGCGCAAACAGCCAAAGAGCTGCTCCGCTCACCAGCCAATCAGCACTTAGTAGCAGTAATGTCAGCATCCTGCTGCCCAGAACTCGTTTGCTGTAGAAAAAGGGAACATACAGGTAACTTTTCTTTTTTAGTGAAATACATCCTTCTACTTACAAAAGTTAAATGAAAGTTCTGGGCAAGTGATTAGAAACTATTTTAACATTTTGTTTTTATCCGTGTAGCTCCATTCACCCCCATTCATTAAGGACTTGCTTGCGGGTGTCCTCTGGCTTTTTGCTGTCATGTTTTTAATATAACAGGGGAAATAGGAAGAGGCCAGACTCCTCATAAACCGGCTCTGAACACTTTCCTATAAGGACTTTACTAGCAATTAGCTGTCTTACATGTTGCTCTTCAGCAATGTCCAGCTGCTCCTGTGTGCTTTCTGGTTCCCCCTGCTGGTTGAAGCTGTACAGGCTGCTGCTTCTGCTGCCTGACACAAACAGGCTCAGATTATCAAAATCATCAGGACGCTCGCTAACATCTCGCTGGGGGTTATACGCCTTCAGGAAGGTGGAGTACACGTAGCCCTGCATACCTGCACACACAAAGAGAGTCTGTGAGATGGAGTATAAAGAATGAAAGAGGAGAAGGGCTGTAATATAGGAGCAGAGGGAGGTGAATAGCTGCTTTGTGTGCTGGAGCTGCTCGCATGGACAATCTTAAAATGTCACTACTTTAAAAAAAAACGCTAAAGGGCACTGAGCTGTGTAACTGAAGTGAAAATGCTGCAGTTTGTTAGATTAACAGTGTGAACTGTCTAAAAAGGCTAAAAGCAGTACCAAAATTCAGCCCCTTTCTTCGGGGCTTAGATATCACACATACAAAACAAACTTCTTCACATACGCTACTGCTAGTGTACCATTACAGACTGTAGCTCATCTGTTGATCAGTTTGTGTTAGCCATCCTCTAGCCCCTTCATCAGTGGTCAGTTTCTGAACACAGAGCCACTTGTGGATTTTGGGTGGTTGGCCAATTACGCAGCCAGTGAGTAAAAAACAGTGAGAAACTTGTCATTGCAGAGAGACTTTTCCTTAGCATCAGGTTTAGATATCTTGAGGGAGGAAACGTCACAAAATGCTGGTACTGACAACACAGGTCACTTGTGTTTTTCTCAGATTTTCCCACACGGTCAAGACCCTTTTGTCATGGAAATGTGTGGGAAAAAAACACACACACACACTTACCTCCAGTGTCCACTAGCCAGCGGCTAGTGCTGCCCAGTGGGTCGTAGTCCTCCAGCAGGGCCACCAGCTCCCCCTCCAGCAGGGAAATGTCCTGATCTTGGCAGGCATTACAGTTTCTCTTCAGCTGGTAGAGGCGATCTTGTGGGTACTGCGCCAGAAGCCGTGCCCTGTGGGCCTCTGTCTGTCGCTGGACCTCTGGAGCCTGTATACGCAGCACAGACCATGAGAGCAGAGAAAATTGTATGTAGTAATTAAAACCAGACTTGGTCGGCTTGTTAAAGCAACGGTTTGGCACAATAATGAATTTCCCCCCTTACCCCAAATGTAGCTGATCAGCCGAAATATGTTTGGTGTCTGAAGTTTGCTTCTTTAATTTTAGCACTGGAGCTATTAGGCTAATGTAATGAAGACTTAATGGAAGTCATTTAGCATAAATCGTCTCACCTTCAAATCATACTGAGTTGTTAAGTAATC